CGCCCGCCTGCGCCTCCGCCTGCTGGCCTCGGCCGGCGCCGCGGCCTCGACGACTTCGGGGATGGTGTCCGTGGGCGCGACGCCCGACGTCGTGGACTCGGGGACGGCCGTTGTCATCGGGTTATCGTCGGCCACGGCCACGGTGACCTCGGGGGCGGTGACGGTGTTGGTTTCGACTGCGGTGTCCACCATGGTCTCCTCGGTGGAGACGGGGACTGCGGGATCCGCTGACTTCCCCTCCGGGAAAGCCTCCGCCGTCGTGACCTCTGCTTTCGCCTCTGTTACTGCTTCAGTCGTGATCTCGACGGGCTTGGCCGCAGCCACGGTCACAGCTTCTCCACTCCTGACCTCTTCGGTGGCGGTCTCCAAGGGCTTAGAATCTGTGACAGCTTCGTTGGACTTAGTGTCTATGGCGGGCTCCGACGAGATCGTTGCAGGTACGAATTCGGTCGACACTTCCGAGGCCTTGCCCTCAGTGGTGGCCTCGATAAGTTTGCCCTCCGTCGTGGCTTCGACTTTTGCCTCGGTGGCCACCTCTATGGCTTTGGCCTCCGTCACGACCTCGGTGGGCTTGGCCTCCGTCGAAGCCTCGGTTGGCTTTGCCTCCGTCACGGCCTCTGCCGTGGGCTTGGCCTCCGTCGCAGCCTCGGTGGGCTGGGCTTCTGTTACAGCCTCAGTGGCTCTGCCCTCCGTCACAGCCTCGGTCGGCTTGGCCTCCGTCGTTGTTTCGGTGGGCTTTGCCTCCGTCCCGGCTTCGGTGGGCTTGGCCTCGGTCTTGGGGAGCATCGGCTTGGGCGCGAGCTCCGCCGCGTGGATCTCGGACAAGATGGGGAACTTCTCGTCGGGTCGGTAGGGTCCGCACTGCTTCCTGGGGTCGGGTGACATGCCGCTCTGCAACAAGAAGGGCGCGAGGATGGTGAGGCCGAGGCTGCCGCCGACCACCAGGACTGCGTGCGCCACGGCCACGGCCACTCACCTTCCAGAAGTTGGGCTGGCAGCTGTTGAGCAGCCAGTCGTGCCACATGGACTGTGAGCCGTTTGTGCTGAGCGTCTCCTCGGGGAAGCCCATCTGCACGGCGAACCTGGTGGCCTGCGAGCCCACCAGCAGCGTGTGCGAGGTGCGCTCCATGACGCGGCGCGCCACCGAGATGGCCGAGCGCACCCGGCGCAGCGCGCCCACCGCGCCCACGTCCATCGTCACCCTGCACAAGATCAGCTATGTAGCAACCGATAGCAGCTATCGGATCTAGCTAAATACGAGATAAATCGCATAGCTAGTTTTCTATCTAGATGCCTGAATGTTTAGCTACACAGCTAAATTTTTAGCTACATTGCTATTTTTTACATAGCTACATTTTTAGTTACATAGCTAAATGACTTACCCGTCCATGATCATGGCGTCGAGGGTCGTCTCGCCGGCCTCGTCGGGGCTGCCGCCGAAGCCCACCGTCCCCCTGCACTGCATGGCCTCGCACAGCGAGCACCCCTCCTCCACCGCGTCCAGCGCGGAGCGCTGCTCGTCCGCCAGGACCCTCCAGGCTGTGTCCAAGGATGGGAGAGAATAAGGACACATTAATTAGAAATTCCAGGACGAGAGTGTCGTCGCGTCGTCGTCGTCGGTTGCCCGGCATTCGAACCCCGCGTCGTCGTGGCCTCGGTGCGCGTCGAGGCGCGTAAACAAGGGACGGCGACTTTCTCGGGCAGGAACGCGCCCTGCCTGCCGCCACCGAAACGCCGCGGCGACTTCTTACTCCCCCCCCCCCCCCCGGCCGCGCACGGGAAATATCAGTGTCGCCAGAACTAGAGAGGAATAAGGGAGGAAATAATTATTCACTGCGTCACTTTGTTGTTCCAGGGGCGGGGCGGGGCGCCTTCTCATTATACGCGGCGCCACGCCGCGCCAGGCAATGCAAATGAAGGCGGGCGGACTGCAAGCAAATTGTGAGGGTTTGTACGTCTTACTTCTGCCGCCCTGCCCTGCCGCGCCGCCGTTTTGCCCGTTTCGCCGACCGTTTTGCCAGGCGTCAAAAACTCGACTCCGTCTGCTGCTGCCGCTGCTGGACCGCTGGCGCCGCGCCGGAAGGGTGGCGGTCTAGCAGTGGTGGGCGGGCAGGGGTAGGCCGGCGTGCTGCTCGCGGCCCTGCTGCTCGTGTTCTCCCGGGAAGGGGGGAGGGGGTTCTTTTGGAGTTGGAGCGCCACGGAGGTAGGCAACCTCGCAGACGCCGCCGTCTGCAGGGCGGCGATTCTTGCCTACTCAGTAGTTCGCAGGCGGGCGGCGGCGGCAGGCGGCAGGTGCTTGGCAGTCGCAGAGCAGCCGGAGCCAGCACGACGTGAGCCAGGCGGTGGGAGGGGTGGGCGACCTCGGACATACCGGAACCACTGGACTGTCGTATAAACGCAAACGCCTCCCCATGGGGCCCGCGGCGGTGGTATTCCGTCGCAAGAGTCCCGTTTTGTATGAAAACACTGCTCCAGCGCGGGGTGGAAGGCAAAAGTTTAATGCTCGCATCTGCGCTTCTTTAAAAACTAACGCCATAGGTTGGGTCACTGGTTTTCATCGGTGAATCGGAGCATGCGTTGGCCGTTTACTAGAACCGACACGAGGTGTGACTCACAGCACCTGGTGGGTGCGTTCAGCAGCAGCAGCAGCGCCCAGCAGGACGTGACGTGCGTGTAGCCGGGGAGGTCCAGAGACGCATACGGGGCGAGAACTCGTTGTTTGGCGGAGGTTAAGGGACCATTCTGAAGGTACGGCCGCCATTCGCTGTTGCGGTTGCGAAACCGCCTCAGCAAGCTCTCATAGCGCCTGATCGGTAGGCAACATTTTGCTTGCAGTGCACGCGTGCACTGCTGGGTGGCCTACCCAGATTTCCGCAGGCGTCAAGGTCCGTCCTTTGGTTTGACGAATGAGTCTGAGAAAAGCGGCCGTACTTACTGGGCGATCCCTAAGAAGTCACTGGTGTACGGATTCACCTGCCTTCTCTCGGCCGGCCCGCCGGGCCGGACCCGGACCCTTTGCGGGGTGCGGGTCAGTCACTCGCGCCGCACTCACCTCTGGCCGCCGCCTGCTGGTAGTCCCACGTGGTGATGACGACGGGCGACGCCGGGGCGCGCACCACGCTCCCGGAAGCCTGGGGCGGCGGGGCGGCCCGCACGGCCGCGGCGAGGACCAGCAGCACCAGCGCGATCATGTCAGCTCGCCGATGACACGCTCCACACACTGCCCACACTGCACTGCCGCTCAGACGCAGCCTCTCGGCGGGGCGTGGCGGGGCGTGGCGGGGCAGGGTGGGGTCCGGGGGACCGACCGATGGCCAGCGGGCGGGGTGGTTGGTGGGGGCCACGCGGGTGCCCCAATGGTGGGCCGTTGAGGGACACCCAGAGCAGCACTGGCCGGCACTCTCCCAAAAAGAAGGATAAGACGAGTAGGAAAAAAGATGAGAGTCGACGAAAATGACCTTAGAAAGCGAAGGTATTATAGTAATTATTACGCCTCCCGGTGCCCGCCCTCTTTGTTTCTCTTCCTTCTCCCTCCGTCCTCTTCCTCGTATTCGGTAATTGGTTCAGAAAATACTCGGTACCAGTGTGTCGTAACTGGTTCTTTTTATTTATCGTTTTCGGTTTTTGTTTCATAACTGGATCAACAAGTCGCCTCATCACCTCGGCCCGGGCTTCGCCCTCTCCCCTGCTCAGTCGTGTCCGCCGCTCACTTCGATAGGCTCCGCAGTTAGATCGATCGACCGTGTGTCAGGTCGCCGTTTGTAACAAGCTCGCGTTGACATAACCTATAGCTGTGCCGGGTCGCTCTCTGGCCCGGCTGGCCGCTCTGGCCCCCCGGGCCCGCGAGGCCTTGGCCGCTGCGTCGCGACCTTCGACCTCCAACCGGTCCGGCGGCGCGGCATCAAACCCGTGCGACGCAACCTAACTGGACCGGGCCCGCTCTGGCTGCTCTTGATACGCAAACGCTACGCCGAACGGCGAGGTGATTCAGCGAAGGAACAGCAAGAGGAGCCCGACCCAGAGCGGCCCTATAAAGGAGCCGTCGCGTCGCCGTCACTGATTCCAAAGAGGGGTCTTCCGTAACTATGTTGGATTAGAAATCACCCAAAAGCTGGAGATTGACTCGGGCTCAGGACTTAAGAGTTTCTTCAAGACGAGATTCATCCCCAGAAAAATCAACACAGGCCCCACAGGCCTAAATTTGCAAAGCCTAAAGGGCCACCCAATCGTGCTAAACGTCTCACTAAACTACAAGCAACTTCTCCAGGGGAGTTGTGGTACCTGTACCTGGAGCTCAAGTTATTGTTTAGTTATACTTGGCAGCATTTATATCGTTGGTGCTGCAAATCTATATTTGTATTATTGTATTTGAGAAATTTTTAATGGGTGATGTGAAAGAACTTCCTAATATACCGGGTGTCCAGACTAAGACATGCCAGTACGTTGGGTTGCCTATGCACTGGCTGCAGGGGCTGCGGGCGGGTGGCGGTGGCGTGGTGAGGGAACTGCCACTTCCCCGCCCCGCCACCCATCCCGTACCTGCGGCCCCTGCAGCCAGTCCATAGGCAACCCAACGTACTGGCATGTCTTAGCCTGGACACCCGGTACTTATGTCATATGTTCATAAAAATAAAATCCGTTTTTGAATTTGACAGTTTTTATTTGAGTTAAAATTGGGGTAGGTATTAGACATGTTACATTTCATTGACAAAACGGCTTTTGTTAAGAGCCTGATCTAGGTCTGCAAGCAAGTCTTCTGAATCTTCCAAACCTACAGACAACCGAATAAGATTGTCTGTTATGCCAAGCTCAGCTCGCTGTTCAGATGGGACTGAGACATGAGTCATGACAGATCTGTAAAAATTAAAAAATAGCCTTTAAAATCTTTAATCAATATAAACCACAATCATAGACTGACAACAATATACTAACGGAAGTTCAGCCAATGATTTATGGCCACCAAGAGATTCTGCCAGAGTGAAGACTTTCAGGGAACTAAGAAACTTTCTGCTTTCTGATAGACCCCCTTTCAAATAAAATGACAGCATTCCACTGACCCCATAACACTGCCTTTTTACTAAATCGTGTTGGGGATGACAAGGCAGACCTAAAATGTGAAACAATGCAAAAATAAATCAAAGTAAGTTTTAGAATAGCAGCAGAACATCAGAAACATGATGCCATTTTAACCCACCAGGATGAATTACTTTCTCTACAAGAGGGTGCTTTTCCAAGAACTGACCAACAATCAGTCCACTTTTCATATGCTCTCGCATCCTTAAAGCTAAGGTTTTTAAGCTTCGGTTGAGTTGTGAGCACTCAAATGGAGCGGGTATCACACCCATTGCTGTGATAGGAATAATGAAAATAGTATTATTCCGTGTGAGACGGAATACAGCAATACAATCTACGCCAAAAAAGGCATCCAGTGATGTATCACACTTGATATTATAGTGAACGGTTCAGTCCCGGCCAGCTATCAATTTTAGCCGAAATTGCATCAAATTGCACAAAAGTCATGAAATTTTGCAGCCTACACCGCCTAAACCATAGGTTGCAATATCAAGTGTGACACATCATACAGGATTTTCAAAAAAACACCAGATTCAAAGCCTAAATTTTCGATTTTCATTTTTTCATGGTTTTTGACGATTTTTCCCTTAAGAGCTACTGCGTAACTTTGAACCCGTTGCGCGATCGGAAAATATTGTCCGATCTCAAAATAAAAAATTGCACTGGATTCTACATCTAAAAAGACGACTTTTCCGCACAGGCGCCATTATTTCAATATCTCAAATTCTTTTTTTTCGCTACCCTCTAGTGCTCTCTCAATTCAAATGTGTACATGGTACACATTAAAAAAAGTGTACGTGGCATGTATGCTTTAATGTGTACATGCCTATGTACACATCTTTTAAAGTGTACATACAACCGTTAGTATACATGCCATGTACACATCTTTTAATGTTGAACATGCCTATGTACACATTAATTAAAGCATACATGTCATGTACACTTTATTTAATGTGTACCATGTACACATTTGAATTGACAGAGTGTATACTCTCCATGTACGATTTTTTTTACACCTGGTCAGTGTGTACACCTGCGTAACTGGAACGTAACAAATGCTGTGTGAAATTTTAGGGGGGACAGCCCCACAACTTGTAATTACAGTCCATGAGTTGTTAACGGCACTGGCACGACTACGTACTTATGCTGTTTATGCAATTCCAAAAGTCACTCACGAAGGGTCACATGCACCACGATCGAGTACCTTGTTTACGTCTGGTGTATATATAGCAACGGATGTGGACTAGAGTGCTGTATCCCGCGCACTCACTACGACCTGGCTAAGCGATTCGTCCGAACATGGCTTGGTTGCCCATCTTCATTGTTTGCGCTACGGCTGGTAAATTAAACCAAATACAACTGCTCTATTATTCATTGGAAAAGTGATGACTTTTAATTTGACTCGGCAATGATTAGTTTTAGAAACGTTTGGTGCCCTTGGTGGGTTCAATGACGAAAAGATCATCGGCGGAACAGTAACACATGTGGATGATGCCAAATTCATGGTAAGAGAACTGAAGGCCTTACATAGCAGATTCTCGTTAAGTTTAGCTTGCACTTCGTAGTATTTAACGGAGCTTTCATCGCCCCAAAGCATTTTAGGTGCCTTTTTAACTAAAATAAAATTCTTAGCCCCTAAAGTTAGAAATGGAATGTAGCGGTCTATTTCTCATCCAAAGGAGTGGTTTAAGACATTAGAATGTCATAAACTAAAATTTAAACATAAGTTTTAAGTGTATACTTCTTTTTTAAATGATGCCTCACTCTCAAAGTTAGCGCGCTAGATGGCTCCGGAAACATTTTTGTTAAAAGAAAATGGTTTAGTTGATAGCTTGTTTGTTTCAGTTCATCAAGGACAACACACAGCTTTTACTGAAATTCAAATAATATAAATTGTTTTGAATATGTACCTTTCCAAAGATAAACAATCACTTCAAAAGTATAATTTTTAATTTACAGAAGTTTTTGGCGTTGAGCCATTCCTTTTGATAAGAATTATTGGCAAAGCTATCAGAAATACTTTTTGGGCGATAAACCCCCGTTAGTTGCATGGGTGTAGAAGAATTCTAACGTATTTACGCACAATTCGAAACCTCTTATCTAAAAACGTTTACAATAAAAGCCCCTAATTCTAGAAGGTCTAACCTTTACAGCGAAACCCTCGGAAGCTATATTCCGGATACCCGCTTTCGATTTAGTAGAAAACAGCAAAGTGTCCCTCGTTAGAGCGCTAGTCCCGATTTAGGTGCTTTGAATGTACCTTCAAATGCTTTACCGACAACCACTTACCTCAGCTATCACCGAGGAGTCTACAACTCGCCTCAGCCGTGCACTTTTGAGTATAGATTATAAGGATTATAGCGTGATTATAAGATTATATGGAATGATTATAAGATTATAGAATGATTATAAGATTATAGAATGATAATAAGATTATAAAAAGATTATAGACAGATTATTAAGATTATAATAAACGTAGAATGACCATAAGATGAGGAAGAGGAGGGAAGACTACTTTCCACGCGTGTCCCAGCACGGGGAGATACCGCAGGTAGGGAATAGGTTGCATAATTGTGTACAGTTTTTGCATACATTCGTACATAATTATGCATAAAATTTGTGCATACTTATGGTGGTATAAAATTCTGCACTTTTAATAAAATGCATAAGGGTTTAGTGTGAACATTTACATTTAAAAATAAGAAGTAAATAGGCCAGTAAGAAAGTGTCACATTGGTTTGAATAATGTGTCACATTCGCTGCAAAGTAACGAAACAAACATTTACTGTGCACTTGAGCAGAGCGATACATTGCTATGTCACGTTCTAAAGAAAGTGACATATTTCAAGCAATGTGACACAATTCACTTTGCATCGAATGTGGTGTCACAGTGTTCAAATAACGGTAAACCTAACGTAACAGTCTATGTCCCACAGACACAAGTCGTTGTCTACACATACGAATCAGAGGAAATTGTTGGGATTTCAACATGTGGAGGGTCTCTGATATCAACCACTCTCGTTTTAACGGCGGGACACTGTGCATCAGGGTTAGTACGTTTTACAGTCTTGACCAGGCTGTTGTTCCTTTTACGTCTGTTACCGTATCTTGAGAGAAGTATACCTACGTGTTTATTTAATTCTAGGAAAGCAAAGGAGACTGTGGTTTTAGCTGGTACGTCCGATTTTCTGAAGAGAGGCAAACGCGGAAGTGGCTACGAGGTAAAGGACATAAGGGTCCATCCAAAATACCAGGCTTTCAACCTAGAGGACGGTAGTAGCTATGCTATTTATGATGTTGCTGTACTAAAACTTAAGTCGGCCGTACCCCTGGGTGCTAAGACTGGTCTCATATCTATAACCAAAGTGAACGCACCTCCCAAAACTGGTACACTGCTTACGGTCGCAGGATGGGGAATCTACAAGGCAAGTATTGCTATCACTGAAATTGTGTTACAATGACGCTTCTTCTTTTTCACTAGACGATGACGCCGCATACATTTCAATTTTTGTGGAATATTATCTTAGCAAGCTCTCAAATTTAATTGTCGATGGTTTCGCCAGATTCACACATGTGTGCTCGTTTCGACGCGTCCTAACAACAATGTTTTATCTGCAGCGTGTAGAATACACAATGTTCTATCTGCAGAGTGCTGAATACACAATGTTCTACAGAGAGAACATTGTTGTTAGGACGCGTCGGCTTACATTTTTATTTATGTTAGTTTATTTATGTAAGTTGCACTTGCAATTTCCCTCGGTCATTACGCACGCATAATAAGCTTCTAACGATGGAACAATTTCATGAGGAACATTTTGAACGTTCCCGTCTCATTTAAAGTTTTCAAATTTCTTGATTTTGCCCATAGACCTCCGCGATTGCGGACAATTTGTTGCTAGTTTACCAGACAAAGTAGGGTATAATGCACTCTCTTCGTTTTCGCATTATTTGACATTAATGAGAGGTTTTTAAAATCGTTCTCCTACGTTGATTTTTCCGTACAATAACCTGACACTACACAATTAATGAAACGGAACACACTCATTCATGAAACGACAGTATTTTTGTCACATCCAGACCAGATGCAAATTTTGTGTCTTAAACTGAGTTAAATGTCTTCCAAAATTTGTTCTGTTTGAGGACACAACACTGTATCCGGTCTGGATGCAGACAGAGACGTTATCATCGGAGGGACAAAATGACTCCTTTAAATTTGAAGTGTATCGTGCATAAGCTCTGTTTCCCAATCTTCAGAACAATAGTGACAGCAGTTCCAAGAAACTGAGGAGAGGAGTATACACTACTCTGAGCCGCGACATATGTGCGCAGAAACTTGGGTCTGCATTTACAGCGCAAGAAATTTGTACATCCTCTACTCCAAACTCGGCATTTTGCCTTGTAAGTACGCTATCATTTCATATATATTTTTTTCTGAAAGGCGTCTACCAGGCCGTCCCATTTAAGAGCTCAAATTATTTAGATTTTTTTACGTCGTGCCCTATAATGCTACACACTAGATTTTAAGTAAGTGTTCTTTTTTGCCCTTTCAACAGAACTGATTTCAAAACTGCACTTGCAATTTCCATCACAAAGTTATTAGAATAGGCAAAATCTAGCACTGTTACAGCACTGAACCACGAGCCTAAACTGGGCAAGAGATAAAATGTAATATGCGAAATGACCTGTTGCAGGGAGATTCCGGTGGCCCAGCATACGTTGGCAAAATCCAGTACGGTATAGTTTCCTGGGGAAACTGCGGTATAAAGAACTCTCCAAGCGTTCTTACGAACTTAGCGAATCCTGAAATAAACTCATTTGTCCAAAATATGTTAAAAACAAAGCTATGATGAATGTAAGGCGTTAAATTGAATAAACCGCACAATTGAGCAATAAAATGATGGATTCGTGTACACATGCTAGCTTCCTTTTTCTGCTTTATGAAAGATCTTCCGTAAAGAAAGTTCTTGGTCTTATCGCAAAGTTATCGCAATTGATTTTCCCCGCCCTTCGGCTTTATTAAATCCAAAGAGCGTTTGTCTTAAAAAGAAAATGAGCTACACTTGCAAAGCAAAAGTACTCTGGAAACCCAAGTGTGTACATGTATGCGTTATTTACTGAATACCTACATGTATGCAGCAAATACTGCATACATGATCATGTATGCAGCAAATAGTGTGTACATGACCATGTATGCAGCAAATACTGCATACATGGCGAGGTACACACATCGGCGCATAGATTTTAGCATAGAGCTCTACGTGTGTACATGGCCATGTATGCAGTATTTGCTGCATACATGTCATGTACACACTATTTGCTGCATACATGATCATGTACGCAGTATTTGCTGCATACATGTAGGTATTCAGTAAATAACGCGTACATGTACACACTTGAGTTTCCAGAGTAGGGTTTTTTGATAAATTTCGTGCCTTTACAGAGGCACTGAAAAATTCACACACCTAGAATGGCACAAAATGCCCCAAAGGTGCTAAATTTTAGTGCCTTTGGACCCATTAGAACTTTTGTAAAGGCAATAAAATTCAACACCTTAAAAAGGCACTGAGTAAGGACTGTGGCCATATTTATTCATTTTTTCTGAAAATGAAACCGATGGTATTGACGGAAAATTTGATTTAAAATAAGAACAAGCAGGCCTACCCCTCCTCTAAACGGAGTTGCCAGCTCCGCTTCGCTCCGCGCCGGCAATTCCGGCAGGGGGAGGGCCTGCTTGGCCTGCCGGCGGCGATTGTCGGCCTGCGGCCCGACCGCTTCAGTCTCGCGGTTTGCTGAAGAACATACTCAGTTCCTGAGTCCTGATGATGAAAGTGTACGTCCATTCTCTGCCTATCTATCTCAGGGTAAGTGCGACTGGCGGTGCTCGTTTGCAACGTGTTTATCGTGTATCAAAGCGCGCATCACTTTTCTTTTCACTCTCGCAATAACGCACCCAAACAAGCGCGCCCCGTTGAGTGGGTCAGTGCCGGCCGTTGACGCGACGGGCTGCAGGTCGGCCGGTCCGGCGGTGATAAGGGCGATGTGTGGACGCCCGTCCTGTTTGTGTGACTGTAGGCCTCGCCCCGCCTCGCCCCGCCCTGCAGGCCGCAGGCGGGGGAGTCGAGGGCGAGGTGGTTGTTGCTACGGTGGGGAAGGGACCGCGGGGTGGGGGTGCGTCGCCCTGGCGGTGTGCGAGCGCTGCCTGTCACCGACCCCGGCAGAGGCTGTCCTACATGATATGAGCCAAGCCAGATCCCGTGAACCTAATAGGCGCCAATATAATTGACGCCCTCGCCTGGCACTCACCTGCCCTTGCGATGTGCTCCTCTCCGTTGCTGCTCTAAGAGGTTCACTGGAGACACCAACTTGATCTCCCCAAACCGCGTCCAGAGTGTATCTTGAGACTCGGGGCTTTACAGTTTCGAGCGGAGCTCAAGAGTGGTCGCGCGGCGGGCACCGCCGCCGGGTGCGCCACCGCCCGCTCACTGGAGGTGTGCGTTGGGTTGCCCACCCGGGAGCAGTCCGGCGCGACCGGTCTGGTGCCTTTGTCGCGTGGAAGCAAAGTGTGAGTGTGGTCATTCACCCAGCCCACCAAGGCTGCTGCGGCAGTGATAGTATCAGCAGTTGAACACTTTAAAATGCTCGAATCCGGTGTTGATCGAGCAGTTTGCACACAATTGAAAGTGTTTAAATTTACAGTCCAATACAGTGCACCACCTCTACTGTGAGTTACAATAATGTATCTGAACTCAGTTATGCACCTAGAAGTCCGGAGCTAGTAACTATTATTTTACTTAGACATTTGGGGTGCAGATTTTGCGTCCTCTATATCGATATTAGCTGCAGTAGGAAGTGTTCACCATAGTTGATGACACATCATATAGAACTAGGCCACCTGCCGGCCGACAGGCCGCGCTGCCCGCTGAGACGTCAGTCTGAGACCGACCGGCTAGCAAGTAACACCCGCTTAATTACTGTGCACTACTGGAGTGATAGGACTAGCTTCAATTACCGTTTCTAGCCTTTATTATTTCCTTTACTGGTCTCATCTTTCGACGCTAGTACGGCCCAAGTAGCCCTTAGTTCAGACAACTCTGACTAGAGGAAACAGAAGCGAAGGGTGTATCCAGCAGTTGTGCCTGGCCCTGAAAACCAAGCGACTCACAGGTCGCACTACTGCTGGGCACCTTAAGAACTAGGTCTACTCCTTGCATGGCTCATAACTTATATCATTACGAAGGTGCATGAATTTCAGTGCGAGTACACTTACATTTATTCTTGCCCCATAAAGGCACCGTTCGTTTCCTTTCGTTTTCCCATTGATTGAGTGATCTAGAACATCGTACCATATTTGATGACTCTAGACAGACGTTCCTCTGGAGCAAATATTCGTAATTGAAATAAAGCGATGTCCACAATCAACAATCTTAAAATTTTGAGGGGACCCTCGAGTACACCTCCTGGAGTACACCTCCTGGAGTACACCTCCTGGAGTACACCTCCTGGAGTACACCTCCTGGAGTACACCTCCTGGAGTACACCTCC